GGGAACTCTCAAACCTTATCCACTTAGCATTCACTTCAAGGGTAAAGGCAGAGATGGGCCAAAGCGCACCTTTGCTGATAAAGCAGTTTTCCCAAAAACCAAAGAAGGGAGAGCCTTGACATCCCTGGACCAAGTGAGACACGGGGAGGCCTGAGCAAGGCCCTGACCTCTGGGGGACTCCCACTGGTGCGGGGTGCGGAGCCAAGGGCGTCCGGCCCTGTCTGCAGAAAGCTGCTCACCCCAGGAAGGGGCAAGGACCAGACACTGATGCCCAGAGCAGGAAGGCAGGGGTGTCAGCTCCCAGTCTGTCTCCTCTGGGAGTGGTGGCTGGGGAGGCCAGAGGAAGGTGTCACTGGCCTGCTGCAGGGGAGACAGACATTGTTCTGTGACTGTCCCTTTCTAGATCTGCTCCACACACCACCACGGAAGTCACTCACTGTCCAGAAGCTCTCCCCTGCACTGTCCAAAGAGTGGCCACAAGCCACTGGGGCTGTTCATGTTTAAATTTAAACTGATTAAATAAAATCTCCAAATTAGTCCTGCTGGTCCCATTCAGCCATTGCACATGTGGCTAGTGGCCCCCATATGTCAAAGCACAGAATATGTCCATCACCACAAAAGTCCCCTGGGCAGAAGCACCCTGAAGGGGCACCCATTTGTGTCAAGATGTGAGTTTTGCCCTTGTCGGCCTCCCCAGCCTGCGCCTCCTGCCACCTCCTGGCCCGCGACTCCTCTGCACTCGACCCCAGGCCACCCGCTGCATGTGTTTCTGTCGAGGCTCTTCACACGTTTCACTTCTCTGCTCACACAGAGAGGAGCAGCCCACACTGAGGGTCATTTCTCCAAGAACCTTGCTGATGTCATTAAAAAAACACATAAGAGAAACATAAGCTCCAACACCCTGGGGCTCTGGGCTTCTGGTTACAGTGTGCATTTATGTTTCATGCCTCAAAAAAATCACTAACAGCCTTGCAGAAAAGTGCTAAGTCTAGAAAGGGAAAAGGCAGCTTCTACCTCCCAAGGTACATCCCATAATAAACAAAGATGAAAAAATGGGGGCCTGCTTACATTGACACAAAGTGCAGGAAAATTAGAAAATCATCTCAAAGACCTAGTAACAGGTTTTCAATTAATGCTTAAAATACCTCCAATAGACGTGAGTGCACACAGCCAGCCAGCCTCCCCATTGGGGTGGCATTTGAGAGGTCACTGCCGGCAAGCCACTAACAGGATGTGTGACTGCCCTTGTGTAGCATCACAGATTCTCACTATTGAGTAAGAAGTCAGAAGAACAACTTTGGTGACCATCTACCTGAGTTTCTCCTTTTAAAAAATCAGTATGAACTACTCCACCTCATGCCCCGACATTCAAATCTGTAATATTGTAAAAGGTGGAAGGGGGGTTGATTACAGAAGAAACTGCTGCAAGAAACAGGTAGTCAACATATTGCATCTTGCTCAGAATACCATTCACCTTTTCAAAGGGATTTTTAAAAAGAAATGAATAACTAATACTATTTCTAAGAAAATAAAAGTAAGCACTGGCCTAGCACTACACCATTTACGAAAAGCTTTTACTTTATTTACACTCCTTACACTCATCATGTGACTCTGGTCGATGTGGTTATCCCCATTTCCGGATGAGAAATCTGGGTTGACGGAGGCTCACAGAGGTCCCAGGATGTGCCCAGACCACACAACCGCACAGAGCACAAACACGCCTCAAAAGCCAGCGCTCTTTCTACCATCCTACCTGTTCCTAGAAAGACTACAGAGGTACACTGTTTCTTTAACTTAAAGACATACACTTTGAGCCCAAGCCTTTCTAAATATTGAAAGAGCCTCACACTCTTTATAACCACATTTTTTTTTTAAATGACCAGTGTAGGAAAGAAACAACCCAAGATTCCATGACAGACTTAAAGAATTATTTTCCAGACCCCTGTGCCTGGGGCTGATTTCCACTGGCATTGGCACAATTTCCCTAACACACCTGATGTGAAATATCACCTAAAACCATGTGCTAAAAGTTCAGATTTCTTAGGGCTTCTCCTGGTCTGAAGTGCATCTGAAAATCTGCTTTTTTTAATCAGCAGGTGATTTTCACAATCTGCTAGCTTTTGGATCTCTGCAATTAGAGCTGGGATACATCCAATGTAGGTAACCACAACCCTGTTCGACACCAGATTTTAAACTGCAAACACTGAGTATATCTGTGCAAATTCTGTGAAGGCTGTGATATACTGTGCCTACAGCTAGCTATTTCAAATCTCTAAAAACTACTTTAAGGAAGGTACTGGGCAATCAACCCCTCCAATTTCTTATTATTCTAAGGACCTGCCTCATGCCCCTTGTTACACCCTCTGGGGTGTTATTGTGTGTTTCAAGGGTGGGGAGGATAGAGTGTAAGACTCCACAACAAAACTGATAAGGGGAAAGGACACAGCCTTCTGTACTGAATAAAGCTATTCTAAACCTCAAAGGGAAAAGAGAACAGCAGCATTTCTTAATTCCAACCTTAAAAGAGGAGTTCTAATTGTCCTGCTATCTATATTACCACCTGCATACATTACTTTTTCAATGCTAATCCTGCAATTTAAGTGTGAGTCAGTAACTCTGACATTAATGATGATTTTGCATTTTTTTCAAAACATTTGACTAATCTTTTGTTATTAGCATGGAAGTTCCCTAGAGTTTCCCTCATTAAAGATTCAAATACAAAATGATGAGAGAGAGAAAGCAGTGCTAGGGCTCTTCTCCTACCTGGCCTCCTCATGAGGCAGGTCAGGACTGAGAAATGAAAGGGCTATTGAAATTTGCAGTTTTAAAGATGCATATAAACAGAGGCAAATGGTATTTCCAGACCAACCTGCTTAGGCCAGGAAACAGCCCAACCACTTAGAAATGTGTACACAACTAACAGGAGAACTAGCACATGCATGAGACCTGCCCCACCCCACTCCACACAACACACACACACACACACCACACACACACACACACCTTTTATGGGTTTCCTAAACTGGATAATTTCTGGGCTTCCATTCCTTTTATTTTGCTTTGCTAACTATCTTTAAAATGGGATTATAAAAATGCCTGTTGTCCTAGTAAATTCTGTCCCAATGGCCTTCTCCTCTTCATCCAATCTGAGATGGAGTGTAAAGACAAGTCTTTTGCTCAACACACAATTAGACAGTAACTGCAACTAACATTTATTTACCCTTGGATAGATGAGCCTCCTCTATTTTCCTTTTCTGTTGGTAGAAGATAGATCTGGCTGCCTCGGGGGCTAAAACTCAGCTGAGAAGCTGTGGGTAGGAAAATCCTTCTGACAAACACCCAGAGAGGAACAGGCCTCCTCTGTCTTCAGACTGACCACCACAAATGACTGGCTGTATTTCCACAGACACGGGGTGTAGAGAGCTGGGCAGTGCAGCAACTGGGTCATGAAACCTTCATCCCCCACTTCTAGGATGGATCTGTGGGAGCCATAGCTGCACCCACACGCACAGGCCTGGGACAGGTGCTCTGCTGTGACCAGTGCTCCCTGACCCACTGGCCCACTGAGGCCCACACTTTGAAAAGTTCTGGCAGGTTCAGTGAGTCACAAGGCACCAAGGAAACCAAGAGAGGTCGGTGGTTTTTCAAAAAGAAGTGTGCCTCTGATGGTCTCCTGCAGTTGGGTAACAGGATGGGAACTTGCTTCAAGAATAATATACCCAAAAAGAAAAAAGAATCCACTCACCTTTTCTCCCTGAGACCCTTGGAGCTGCTCACCATCACCATTACTCACAAGAAAGATGCACACAGACTCAGCACAACATTGTCTTCATCTAATGCTGGGGGACCGTGGGGCTCAACTGGGGATTGTACCTCAGCACAATACCCACCCACCCCTCCAAGAAAGCCTCTTGGTCTCTCTCCTACAGCCCATGGTCGAGGCAGAAATCAGTAGAGAAGAGATAATTATGTAGATCTTCAGCTTGCTAATGAGGCCAGCTCCCAGCCTGTTACATCATTTGGGTTAATGAAACATAGTCATGGTTAGAGCAATCTCAAACTCCCCATTTAAACTCCCCAGTTAACAAGCAAGTTACCTTACCTCCCAATGGTTTGTGAGGCAGGGAACATGTCACTGGGGAACTGACCCTCAAAATATAAATATTAATTGTAAATTGTGTTCTGTGTGTTGTGTGTGTGTGTGTGTGTGTGTGTGTGTGTGTGTGCAAAGGTATGTGACTTGAGGGTCATTTTAAAGAAAACAGATTAATGTGTCATACACAGTTTTGAGGCCGAATACCACAAGAGCCTCATGCCCCTCCCACGGCCTCCCTCAGAATGTACCTTCCTGCTATTTTCCGTGGGCTGAAACCTCCTCCAGCTTGTCCAGCCACAGAAACTCCACCCTGTCTGCTCTGGAATGTGCCACACCCTCCGTGCACAAACTGAGCCGGTGACAGAAGGAGGCAGTCTCTCCCGGCCCCTCCCCACACCTCTCCACCCACATCTGTGTGGGATCCCACAGGCAAAATTCATCTGAGTCGCCTGCTTGGTGGGAAGCTGCTTCTGCATTTTCTCAGCCTCCCCGCAGCCTCCAAGGCTGGGCTCAGGAAAGGGTGGATACTCCAGGCCTGCTGCTGCCAGTCCAGAGCCACCTCCCGAATACACTATTCCCGAGCACAGAGGACAGGCAGCACTTCTCCCCTTGCACATATACACACACACATACACCACCACAATCGTGCCTCACCCCAGGGACAATTCAGTCCAACAGAATTATCATGCTCCCCTTTTGAGCCCACAGCAATGAGCCCTGCCCACCTGCCATCCCCTCCACCATGCCTTGCAAACTGTCAGAGCCATGCATGCCCGCCGGCACGGCTGTTCCAGTTATACCCTCCTTCTGCCAGGCTTCTCAGAAAGGTTTCAGGACACCCTTCCACCCTCTAGCAGACAATGCCCCTACACATCCTGCTCTGTTTTGCAGGAGCCATAATTACCGTCTGAGCATTCTTCATAATACCAGTCTAGTTCATAATAATCCGCTTCAATAAATTTCTGCATAGTCAGTATTCTTGCAGACTTCACAGCGCCATCAGCATCAAGTCAAACGCTGCCGTGCCTCCCTGCCCTTCCAGAACACTGGGCAGGAGGGCATCCCAAAACACACCAGAATTAAGCTGTGCATTCTTACTGATAGTCTGGAGCCAGATCAGAAAAGGGACTGCGGAAAGAAAAATTCTGCGGGGTTGGGGGTGGGAAGGGTAGCAGGAGCAGAAAGGGCAGCGATTTGCAGAGCTATCAGAGCCCGGCAGCGCAGCTAATAAAGCAGCCAGGCCAGCAGCCCTGAATGGGAGTAGCCGGAACCGTCCTATCCGGATGCGCGGAGGGTGACGTCAGGGACACACACCACCACCTGGAGGTCTCACTCGGGCCTCGCCTCCCGCTCACCGCTCATCTTTCAATCTAACAGTTGCCATAGAAACTGGCTGGCTCTGAAAAATGATGCAGAGATGGAGGAAATGTCTTCCAAGGATGCTGGGCGCAGGGGCTGGCAGATGCCTCACAGGGAGAAAGGGGCATGCAGATGGTGGGGGGTACCACCATCACCTCAAACAAATGTAAGGACAAATTTTTTCACCTGACTCTGGGCCACTACCGAGTCCTCATTTGAAAAATGCCACCTTTTAAAATTTGCAACCATTACCTCTGGTTTTATTTCCTCAGCCTGATTTAAGACATTAAACACCCTTTCTTAACATTTTTGCCACCACCTAAAGGAAATGCAAATTACTCAGAAAATGAAGACATTCTTAGTTACAGTACTGCTCTCTGCTCATGCCTTTGCTTAAACTTCTGGAAAAACAGCCTGCAACATACAAAAAGAGGAGAATGCCATTACAAAGGAGCCCATACTATATGATATACTGTTTCATGAACATTCACATGTGTAATCAAAGTATAAAAATGTATGACAGGAGGAAATAGCCCACCTTTAGGAAGGTGGCTGCCTCCAGGAAAGGAGTGAGGGGATGGGGCTTTGTCCTTATAACTGCGTCTATAATATTTTATTTCCTAAAAAAGAAAAATGAGGTTAACATTTATCAGTTCTGAGTGTTTGGCATGTTTGAAACATTCAATAAAATGAGTAATGGATGATTAGACAGAGTTTAGACCTATTATAGGTTAAACTCCATCCCCAAAAGCATGGTTTTTCACCCTCTCAGTTCTAAAGACATTTGGGATCACATCATTCTTTGCTGTGGGGCTGTCCTGGGCACTGCAGGGTGTTTAGCAGCATCTGTGGCCCTACCCACCTAGACGCCAGAAGCAGCACCCTCTCTCCCTGCAGATGTGACTAACCAGAATGTCTCTGGATGCTGCCAAATGTTCCCTGGGGCAAAATCTCCCCTGACTAACCACTGCCCTAAAGCAAAGCTACCTACAGAACCTCCCCGGCCTGCTGGATGGGCACTGGGACTATCTTCTGTGTAAAAAGCAGCGGCACGACCTTGGGGCAGTTTTCCCTTAATTTTCTACTCAAGACTGTACAATGTGAAAGTGAGTAATAGTAAAAGGCCCCTTCACTCTGGGTAAAGAGGGCCCACTTCTTTCCGTCCATAGGGACCACACAGGGACAGTTTCCCTTTATTTTTCCAATGGCATATGCTAACTTCAGTTAATAAACTTGGAGGAAAAGGTATCCCTCCAGGGCAGGGCTTCCCGAGCTTTCATGTGCATGAATCACCTGCAGCTTTTACTAAAATGCAGAGTCTAATACAGCAGGTCTGCAGCTGGGCCCGAGAGTCTGTATTTCTAACAAGCTCCCACGTGACGGCAATGCTGCTGGTTCCCCTCCCACACTTTGGTGAGGCTCTTCAATGGGATGGGCAGAGTGGGGTGGGTGGAATTTTATATATATATATAGTGTGTGTGTGTGTGTGTATGTATGTATCTCTTTGAGTAGAAAATAGAAAATTAAGAGGAAAACTATATATATATATATACATGTACACAATTACCCCATATACAGAATCTTGGGCAGAATCTACACTGTATGCCAATCTAAATCTTCCTAAATCATTAGAAGTAGATGAGCCTTCAGTGCTGTGTTACAGTCCCTATAATTGGCTTCTTATGTTCCACCTGTGTCCCATAAGTCTCTCCCAACTCTGGGGTGCCCCTCCTCTCTTTAACAGCCTGGTCTCTTTACCAGGCCATGCTTGTACCCCAATGCAGGATGCTACAAGTGTATCTTCCCACTTGCCAGGTGGCTGATGGAGCCCATCTGGTCCAGCCTTTACACTGTGAAAGCACTTGCTGCCTGTGGATAAAATGAGTGTTCCTGTGGCCGGGATTCTCATCTGGCTGTGGTTGACTAGCTCATTGCACACCTGTGGGCAATATATGGCTGTTGGCTCTATACAAAGAGCTCTACCCAGTGCTCTGGGCATGACACGGTGGCTGCAAGGCTACAGGAGAGCAGAGCAGAGGCTGGAGTGGTGGCAGCACCGAGGACAGAGGCCCAGAGGATGGCTGTGTGGGACGACTGTGCAAAGAGGCCCAGAGGACAGCTGTGAGGTATGGCTGTACAGACAGAGGAGTCCAGAGGCAGAGACCGGCTTGCTGCATGCAGACTTGTTCTGAGTGAAAGGGACTTTAGTGACTGACCTGCCACCTGGAAATAAAGTTGGGTATAACCCTTTCACCCCAAGAACACTTTGCTGCCAATTTCTTTGGTCACACTGAATCCATAGTGTACTTGCCCAAGGCTGAAACCCATTGGCAAGACAAACATTAACGTGGTTCCTTGTAGAGTTGCTGATTCCATGTCTTGGGGCAGGAAAAACCCCTATGGGCCTGCAACACCAGCTTGCAAAAAAAAACACAGACTGCTCTAGGAGGTAGGAGTGATATGGTCTAGAAGCCAGCTTAGAAAGACAGTCACTGGCCAGGCTGTGATACTCTGAACCTCAAAAACAGAATCCAGTTAATAACAGCTAAAGGGAGTAAGTCGGGTCTGTAAAGGCCATGGGTTATCAGGGGGCATCAAAACAAAAGGGCTGCCAAGCGAACAAGGCAACTGACATATAAAGAAAAGACTAGAATAGGAGGATATTTTTAATTCATCTTAAGAATAGGGGAGGGTGGGTGTGTATGATTGCTCTGCTTCTGCCACTAATATCTTTCATAAAGCATGGTATGAACATTTCTCTAAGCAGGGTGGCTATGAATAAGCCAACCAGATATGGAGTGAGGGGGCAGGTACAAGAACAGGAAGGCCTGACCTTGTAGTTGCAGACTATTCCCAGGTAGGAGGACCGGGTCCTGCGCTGCAAGCTCTGCTATAGATTCTCTGGTGTAAACACTGAAGAGAACTAATAGATTTGGCCTGCAATTAAGAAAAATCAATAAATACATCTGTAATCAGATTGAAATGTTTAGAAGAATTTAGTAAAATTGCTGTTTCTAATTATTAATTATGTGAGCATATACATTAAATATTCATATACATACAATTTTATATATACATGTACAACAGTTATAAGTAAGTTGCTATTCAATACATTTTTTAAATGAATAAGCACTAACAATTTTGGGTTAAATGACTCATGAGGCAGTTGTGAGTTACCCCACAGTGTGGCAGACGGCAGAGGTCTTGCTACATGCCCCCTTCCTGTGCACCCGCAGCTGATGGCACAGGCCCTGCCCAGTCCCTTGTCAAGCCAACTGAACAAACAGGTCGGCATAAGGGGGGCTCCCTGAGCTCCTGCCTCCTGCCTGGAAGCAGAGCTACTCGGCACTGTCAACCCCTCTGCAAGGTGCTGCCAGTCTCCAGTGCTTTCCTGCCTTTTGCAAGTACTGCTGGCCTTCCACCTGCAGCCAGGAGCCCAAGACAGAAGAGGGAAAAGTCCCAAAGGGGTTTCCCATTCTTGGGTGGGGGACAGGTGGGGAGCACACAAAATAAAACCTTACAAGCAGGCCTTCCTTCTACTACAGAAGACTGACTAACAAGATGCCTCTGCGGGTTCTCTCTCTCTGATCTGTATTTTTTAAAAACATTGCCCCTGCCAGTCACTGAGCGCACACAGCAGAAGGCAGGCTGCTACGAACAGCTTGCTGTCAACTACCTCCCTCCACCAAAACCATCTCTACCTAATTGTAGGCACAGGAAAAGCAGGCACCCATTCCCCTCCAAGGGGCAGGTGGGGGCAGAACAAAGCCTGGCTTTTAGGAAACACACCCCAAGGCAAGGAAACAGAATCCAATAGAGCACTGCAGAGCCCAGGTGCACCCTGGCCTCAGGGCCATTCTCATGAAAACCCGGACATCTGAGATGGATACAAGAGAACACAGCACTGGGGCTTATTGCACAGTTCCAAGCTGCCGCCTGCAGCCAGTGGGGCAGGGGGCTGCATGGGCCATCGCACTCTTGGGACAAGTGGGTCGTGTGGTAGATGTCTCAGGCTTTAAAACACAAACTAGAAGTTCAAAGGGTCCCCAGTTCTGCTCCTGCCATAACTCTGAACTGCTGTGGCTCGAGCCCAACACCCAGGAGGAGCGAATGGGGTGCAGCTGAGCCATCATGTCAATTTCCTACCTGAGTCCATTCCAGCTTTGTCTTAGACATGCTAGATTAACATGAAAAGGAAAATGGTCAATCTGTACAGAATAGCGTGCCAAACATTTTTGTTCTTTAGAGAAAAAGAAAAGATACTCAACATTGGAATCTGGTTTTATGAGAACAATGAAAGCTGGCAGATGACAGATGACAAAAAGTAAGCCTAAGGGCCATGTGGTAGATCAGCCCACCGGGATGAGAACCTGGTTGCCCTGCTTCCCAGGACACTATGCCCAGGAATCTGTGCTGTGAGGACCTGGCTGCTTTTGACCACCTCCCAGAGTCAGGCGCCTTCAATCCTCCCAGCACGTGGTGTCCAGGCCACACCGGATGGAGGCACCGCGACCATGCGTGGCTGACCTGTGGGGAGCACTGCACAGCCAGGGCTTCTCTGCTCCCACCTCTGACCCTGCAGACATCAGTGCAGCTAAAAGTGGTAAAAATGCACGCGAAGAAGAGTCCACTCATGGGAGGAGCAAGCCAGAGATGGGGGAAGGCACGACTGCAGGGCCCACTCAGGACTCCGCCTATAGACAGGACAGCCGGGGTCTAAGGGGCAGCAGAAAGGACGGCTGGGACACGGGCATTCCCATGAGACAGATTCATGGCCACTGTTCATAAGTGTAATTTGTGTATTTCAGTATTGTTTTGTTAGTGCATGATAATGAAAAGCTTTCCCTGGCCA